AAATAGGTAGATTTACTATTATCATAAATGTAAAAAACTTGCTATGCAAGTAATATCTTTGTATAAATAAGCCTATTGGCTAATGAATAAAATTGAGAAAAACTATTCTACTTCTAAGGTTTCCTCCAAATTTATCATAAAACAAATCTTTGAGATCCGATCCTTTTCATTATTTACAATGATTATAACTGTTTGTTTGTAACTGAAAACTTTCACGTTGAAAACCAAGATAATATCAGAGATTATATTTAAAAGAATGCTGTTCTTTACAAAACGTTTTGGTAGAATGACATTTTCATATGTTGCAAGTTAGAACCAAGTGACGGTGTCTACTAGTTGAGTAATTTACCCTGAATTTTCTTTAGAGTTACGAGCCTATTCATTACGATTTCAATCATTTTTGGCCATACAAAGGTACATCTGAATAAAAAAGAAATTGGATATCTATAAATCTTGGAAGACTAGTCTCGATTTCGATATGTGATTCTCCGATTATTCAAAAAAAAAATCAAAATTTTAATTTGTAGACAGACTAAGCACTTAGTGCTAATGTATTTTCTCTCATAATGAACTCGGTTTCGAAAAATATATTCAAATAAATTCCCTTATTTTAATTTGGTCGTATACTCTATTGTTTTGGCCCAAAATGGGCAAATTAACCGAACCAAAACTTTTGAGTTTCAAAACATAGACTTTTTTATATTGTTGACTTTGGTCTATAGATTTTGGATACAAGTGAGGGTTTATTTCTTTTCTTTTGCTCCTGGTATTGAAATCTTAAGCAGAGCCAGACTTGAACACATGGAGTTGAAACATTTCAATGCAGCCCCTATTTTAGGAGAGTCTCATTTAAGTGTTTTTAAGTTATATATATTGTTGTTAATGTGAGAAAAATAGTAAGTTTGATGAATAATTTTTCAAAAAAAAATCCGTAAAAAGTATTTTTCATAAGATTTAAGTTGTTTGTTACCTTTTTTAAAAGATATTATTGTACTATGTTTTTAAAACAATAGTTTTGTTTAAACTTTTTTTTACTCTCTAATTTTTAGTATTATAAAAACTACGACGTTAGTTTTTTCTTAATCCATATGGAGTCCCAAATCTTATTGATCCGGCTCTTATCTCAAGTTATTAAATCTCAAGTCATATTATTTTGATTAAAAAAATGACATGGCAGAGCTGAAAAAAAATTGTGGTGATATGTAAAATCATATTTACAGTGTCAGAGAATCTGATTATTTTTATTGAACATAACATAAAGTTAGTACTAGTAGTCGTACTTACAAATTATTTGATCATATATATTATGAAATGACATAATGCCGTTTCTTATGCATCATAAGGGGAGATGAATCTACAAAACCAAAAGAAACAAAAAGAGAAAAAAAAAATCAGACATAAAATTAACATTCATTACGTGGATGAGATTGAACAAGAATCCGAATCTCTTTTGGTGAGTGTTTGTGACAATGAGTGCTATCTTGAGATTGGGGTCACCAACATACAATGCAACTCTTATAGCAGTCTTCATTCACGAACCAAGACAAATATAATAACAATCAGAATCTAGCAAAATGTATAGCCGTCTTGGGTCCCGCATAGGTCGATTGGCAGTTTTTTAAAAACTAAAATCATATCTACCACTTTAAATACATGGTTGCCGCCTAAACACTTTAGAAATTTCTACATTCACTTTACTAAAAAACTATTAAAAATGTAAATTATATGGAAAATAATTTCAGGTCTTCTAAAAAACGTTTTTACAGCATCAAATTTGTACATTTACATATTTCTACCACCAAAAACATTTATTTTCAAATACCGGATCAATTAATTGACACTAATTATCTTGTAAAATCAAAAAAAATTAAAACATATTAGATATCTACAATATGAAAGAAAAGTATATTAGTTATAATTGTAGATAAAAACACAAAATATAGTTTATTATAAAATACTTTTTAAACGCAATAACAATTAATGTTCAATTTCGGATTTATACGATTCTAAATACCCGTTTTTGTGCACCCAACTTTTTTTTTTCTCTTTCAGTGTTCAAAACAAATTTTCTTACCTCTATAGAACTTCTTTCTAATAAAATTTTAATGTACCGAACTTATTTTTGCAAAACAAACAACTTTCATAATTGCGTGAAGAAAACCAACTAATATTATTGTAGTTCATATCTTATTAAACTTTTAAATATCTTTGAGGGTATTTTCCATTTGTGTTTTTCCTCCAAATCATGTAAGCAATTCGTTTTCAACAATATCCTCCCAAACCTTCTAAAAGCGCGTGACACACAAAATCAACATCATGTGCTTAGTCATGTTCATCCATTGTTGCTAGTTGCTATAGACTAGCTTTGTGGAGCTAAAATGGTCTAATTCCTCCTTCACTTGAGCTCATGCAATTTGCCATTTTAATAGTGATGGTCAATATATTGTAGAATTTGACATTTTGCCTAAACTTATATCACAAATCTCGACCTGGACCAAGCATGGTGGGCCAGTGATTCCCGCTTGAGTTATGGAATTTTCATGTGGGTTTAGGTTAGGGATCGAAAACCCTTATGTTTCAGAAATTTTTTGTATCTTGCAACTTGACCACTCGTAAACTTTTTAGTGGCAAGAAAAACTAGAAATCGGCTCATAAACTTTTTTGCTTAGCCAAAAAAAAAAACAAATTTCCACGTGAAAAAAAAACTGTAAATAATCACTCTGAAATATCATTTTGTTATTCAAAGGACCGAAAACGGTATACCATTACTATAAGCTTTATCTAAATAATTGTACATAACATATGATCTAAAATGTAATAAATTAGTCCATGTGATGATAAAATAGCAGAAATATTTCAAATTAAAATGACTAAAACATTTGTAAGGTATTTAGATTTCACAAGTTAATTTTGAGTGTACAGTTTTGTTTATCCAAAGTCATATTTTCTATCTAAATTAGAGAAATTTTCCATTCATTCTTAAATTAAGAGAATTTCCATTTATATTTATTATGTTTTATCTCATATTGTATTGTCTTTAAATTCAAAGGCGGAATGTTAAGTTCGTAGTGCTAAGATTCGGTTACGCGATTTTATTTATGTAAACTCTATTCTCCGATTTTGCTGACCAAACTATCTTCTAAATTATGATTACTGACCACAATAAATCAGAGAATAAATTAAACGAAGCTTATGAAA